GAGGGGCGGGGCCTCCTGGGCGGGCACTGCCCGCCCCCACCTTCCCGGCCGCGGGGGCGGCTCCCGACAGGCCCGGCACTTTGATTTAACTGTGCTCACGTTATGCAGTTTGTCACGTTTTTCTCCAAATACTTCAGAATAAATGACAAGCATCAGGACTTGTCACCTCTAGTTAGGAAAGTGCATCTGCAAAAATGAAGGACATTTCACGTAGGAAACACGTCCGCAGGGTCATCCCCACACCGACGACGCCTGGACGGTTCCCGGCCGCGGCCGGCGCGGTTCAGACCCAGCTCGCCCCCGACCGTCCTGTAGCTTTGTTGTGCAACTAGTTTGTACCAACTAGGATCCATTTAAGACCCTTCGTGGATGTGGTTAAGAAAAAGGCTCTTTTATGCTCTTTGTCAATGTAAGAAACATCCAAACCTTACTTTGACAGTTAGCATTGTGCTTCAGGTAGAAATGTGCAACGTCTCCGAAAATCCAAGAGGTCTACAAAGGCACCTGGGTTACCTGCTCTGTGTAGCTGCCAGGCACTGCGCGGGGGCACCAGTCACACAGCTCACCCAACAGCACAGTTTTTCTTACTCTCTCACCCCATGTTCAGGAATGACTGGATTCGCTTTCGGGACACCTCTCCTGCACGCATCTTACAGTTTCCCTATGGACTGCTGCCCCACCTGAGAGACCTCCTCGCCATCCGAGAAACAGCTTCTCTCACTGGCAGGCTCTATGCCAACAGCATTGGAGCACAGACTGATAGTGCCATTACCATGTCAATGACACAGAACTATCATGTTCTTCCACTTGGATATTTAAATATCCCTTCTTTGTCTTTTTCATATGTTCTGTATTCATAAGGGGACATTTTTCAGTCCTGTTCTCATGGATTGCTCATTGCCCTCACACCTTTCTTCTTTAAGGCTGACACTAACTTTACACTTGTACAGAAACCATGGAAACACAGGTGATAAGGATGCTGACCTTGCTCTAAAATAACATCAGCAAAATTCATCACTAGATTTCCACCTACACCAAGATCAAGATCCTTACCTGCCACCACAGTGAATTCCTGATGGGGCTCAAACCAAGCCAGATAACCTTGTGTGGTTGTACCACACCAAATTTTATAGCCAACTAATAGGTTTCCCATTCAGGAATTGGTTATATACGTAAGTTCATCTGCACCCGAGGATATTTTTTCCATTGATTTTTTTTTAGAGACAGTGGAAGGGGGTGGAGAGAGAGAGAGAGAAACATCAAAGTGAGAGAGACACATCGATTGGTTGCCTCCTGCATGAACCCTGACTGGGGCTGGGGATCAAACCTGCAACCCAGGTACATGCCCTTGACCAGGAATTGAACCCAAGACCCTCTGGTGAGCAGGCCAATGCTTTAACCACTGAACCAGGCCACCCAAGGCAAGAATGTATTTATTTAATTCTTCATACTTGGAATCTTTTCATTGTCATTGTTTTTTTATTTTTATTTACTTACTTTAAAAAATACATCTTTATTGATTTCAGAAAGGAGGGAGAGAGAGAGAACCATCAATGATAAGAGAGTCCTCATTGATTGGCTGCCTCCTGCACGCCCCCAAATGGGGATCAAGCCCACTACCTGGGCATGTGCCCTGACCAGGAATTGAACCACAATCTCCTTGATTCTAGGTCAATGCTCAACTGCTGATGCTGAGCCACACCCGGCTGGCAGTCACTGTTTTTTAAAAAAAATAATATTTATTCATGTTCAAAGAGAGAGAGGAAGGGAGAGGGAGAGAGTAGAGACATCAATCCATTGGCTGCCTCCTGCACACTCACACTCGGGAGTCAAGCCCACAGCCTGGGCATGTGCCCTGACTGGGAATTGAACTAACAACCTTTTGGTGCACAGGACAACGCCCAACCAAATGAAGCACACTGGCAAGGGCCATTGCTCTTTAATGAAAGGAAAGATATTCTATGTTCTTTCCTTCTTAAACTAAACAGAAACATAGGTTTAAACTATGACATAGAGCTATATGTTTAGGTACTGACCTCAGCACAGTCCTTAAAACACGTAGGGGGAAATTCCTGATGTCAACTTAATTTCACTAATAAAAGAATAAAAGATACACAGCTTTGTGGCTACCTAAGCAGTGGGTATGACTGACTTCCTATGAAATTCTTATTTCTCAAAAACTTATAGGGGCTCCTACAGATTTGGCCCTCCTTCCACTGGCCAGCTCACATCAGTCAGCTCAGAGTGGGAAGGAACGGGAAGTGGATCAGACTGCTCAGTGCCTATCTGGCATTCATGCCCCCTTTGTTCTTAGTAACAGAAGCCTAACTTTCTGCTGGACACTGCAGCCAAGAATAAGACACTTTCCAACCTCCCCTCCCTAAGTTTTGGCCTATGACATAGTGCTGAAGTGACCTGATGGAAGGCTGCTCACAGGGAGCTGACTGAATTGGCAGGAGTTTCTTTTTGCCCTTCTGCCTTTTGTGCACATTTTGCATGTGATGGCTGGAGCTTGAGCAGACACTGAGGGTCATGTGATGATTGTAAGGACCATGGCGTGCACCAGGATGGTGGTACTGAAAAGCAGAAGACAGGGTCCCCAGTGACGTCACTGAACCACCTTACCTGTCCTGGACTGCTCATCTACAGCCTCTCTTATTTAGGAGAAAAACAGACTTTTATTAAGTCACTCCTACTCTTTTTGTTTTTAAACCATCCGCAGCTGAACCAAATCCTTAACAATCCACAGTGCTTCACTAATCTTCCCATTCCCATGGCAGACTGTGAAGCCTTTTCCAGAGAGCAGAACCCCGAGCAGCTACTATCACTAAGCAAATGATGTTCACCACCCAGGTGATGGGTCTGGAAGTGGAGTCTCCTAAGCTTAATATTCTTCATCATGACGATGACATTTTTGTATTCACAATATAAAAATCATGATCTACAAGCTGACTTTATTATTTGACTTTCAAAGAATTCCAGAACAAGCAACATTTTTAAATTGCAGCATCAGTATTTAAAAAATATCCAACTTCTTCTTTCAGACATTTACTGAATCGTGTCTATGCGGCAGTCACTATACTGGCACTGGAGATATCAAGTAAGATAGCTGCTGCTTGAATTAATTCATCATGGTTCATTCAAATGACTAATGAATCTCTTCTCTAGTCTGAATAAAACCTTAATTTCTAACTTGAATCAATGAGGTACTGTGGTTGGGGTGGGAAATGGTAAAATTAGATGATCTTTGTTTTTCCAAAATGCCTCTGCTGGTTGGGGGTGGGAGGAGTGGAGATTAGTAAAGCCAGTGGGGGCAAACCGTCACCATTAGCCTGCACTTTAAGACACCTTTCAGTGTGGTTTATTTCCAAACATTATTAGTTTATCTTATAGGAGTTCGTTGCTGTAGCATATGCAGAAATATCAACCTACTCTTGTTCTGCTTGAGCCTGTAAATCTGTGGATACTTAATTGGCTGCTGACTTCAAAGCCCTCACTCAGTCATGAGGCTCTTGACTACATGGAGATGCATCATCAAGACGTTACCATGTTAAAGCCTCTGAAAAGTCCTGTAGTCAAGAATGCTGTTCAACTCTGATCCCCCAGTACCATATAGGGCCAAGTTATCGTGGAACAAATTGACTTCATGGAAAACAAAGTAGAAAGAGTGGGGGCAGATAGTCTCCAAGTTGTCCCCACAAATTCTGATGCCAGAATTGGATAGAGCGACTCTTTCTAAAGTGCAGCTTGGTTTGCTTGTTAATGTACTGTCTCTGATGTTCCTTAGGGAGAGGACACCTCAGCAAGCCAGTTTGTCTTTGTGGTGATATCTCTGATGTTGAAAAAGACCTGACCTCTGCCTGAAGGCTTCTCCACATTCATTACACTCATAGGATTTTTCTTCATTGTGGATTCGCACATGCTGAGCAAGGTGTGAGTTTAGTCGGAAGGCTTTCTGGCATATATTACACTTGAAAGGTTTTTCTCCAGTGTGAATCCTGTGATGTCGAATAAGGTCTGAGGTTAAACGGAAGGCCTTCCCACACTCATGACACTGGTGGCTTCTGGAGTGGCTGTGGATCCTCTGGTGGTGGGTGAGGAGCAGGGCCTGACTGAAGGTTTTTCCACACTCCTTGCACTCACGGGGCTCCTCCTGACTGTGAATTCTCTGGTGTCGATTAAGGTGAGAGCTGCGCCGAAAGTTCTTTCCACAGAGGATACATAGAAAAGGTTTCTCTCCAGTATGGATTCTGAGATGTTCCAAAAGGCCTGTGTTCTGGCTAAACACTTTCCCACACTCCTTGCACTGATAAGGCTTCTCACCAAGATGGATTTTCTGATGTCTGACAAGGTGTGAACTTCTCTGAAAGGCTTTCCCACACTCGTGACACTGATGACCTTTCTCTCTAGAGTGGATTTTCTGATGTCCAGGAGGATGGAAACTTTGATGCCCCTCAGATTCACAGAGCTTCCCTGCAGTATGCATACCTTCATGTTTAACCAGGTCTGAGTGCTGGATAAAGCCCTCCCCACATTCTGAGCAGTTATAGTTGGTCCTCTCTTTGGGGTTGGCCTGCTGCCTTTCCAAACGAGAGCCCTCATAATGAGCATCTGCCAGCTCAGACACTTTCCCAGATGATTTCACTCCTCCACAAAGGTCTATCTCTACAACCGGCGTCCCATTCTCAATTATTGTCTCTTCACCTGAAACATTAAATATATGCCATCAACTACTTGGTTTTTGATTTTTGGTGAAAAAAATCTGCAATTAGGAGGAAAATTTTTAAATCAAGTCATATATGCAAGTGGAGATGTTATGGATGTTTGAGTGTGTGTAGAATACATATGGAATGATACAGAAGAAATTGTGAACAGTGGCTGCCTTTGTGGAAGGAAGGGGGTTGTGGTAGAATGTGATTTATTCTCATGGTTTGAATTTTATCATATCACTCACACACACACACACACACGCACACACACACAAGCTAGCTACTGTCTTAAAGGGAATGGCTATATATTCTTGAAAATGGCTTGACACATGTAAAATTAAAAAGCTAGGTCAAGTGAAGATCCTGGGCCCAATAAGAAAGCGATGACATTGTAACTGAAAATGAAAAAATGTAGACATGGTGCCCATTTTATCACTGACCAGCTGTGTAACAGCAGAAATGTAAATTAAACCTCAAACCTCTAGAAAAAGCATCCAGAATTGAAAAAGTAGGTAGGTGGTAAAGGAAGGCTTTAGAATCAACACCAACCATTCAACAAATAGGCATTTAGTGAGGACCTACTTTAGGCCAAGGACTGTAACAGACTCAGGAAACAAAGCAAAGGCCCTGCCCTTTTGCCTGGCAAGATAAAAAGAGACATTAACCAGCAACTATAATACAATGTAATCACTTCTGTAATAGGAGAACACCTGGTGGGGAACCTGGACTCTGGGGACTCAGGGAAGGACAGGGAAAGTGCTGTCTAAGGTCCTGATGGAAAAGTGGGAATTACTCAGTGAGAGTGAGGAAGACAGAAGAGGCTCAGAGAGCTACGGGCGGGACAGAGGGTGACACACTGTCCCACTCTGCCTGGGGACAGGTTTTTTCCCCAGGACATGGAACTGTCAGTGTTAAAGCCCAAGCAAAGCGAAACAAGTTGGTTATGGTAGTGGACATGAGGCTGCGAGGTCAGCAGATTCCAGAATATGACATGTGAGGCCTTTGTTAATGGCTATTAGAAGACACTGAAAGTAGTGGTTTTTCTATTTTTTACTCTATTATAAAATTTTTCAAACATCGCAGAAAAGGTTGAAAGAATAACATTACTCAGCTAACTGAATGGTTTTCTTCTTTTTTTCTTTTAATCCTCACCTGAGGATATTTTTTCCATTGCTTTTCAGAGAGAGTGAAAGGGAAGGAGAGGTAAAGGGGGAGAGAGAGAGAGGGAGAAACACAGATGTGAGAGAGACACATCAATCAATTACCTCCAGCATGCACCCAGACCAGGGCCACTCAGTCCGCGGCCCGATGCTCTAACCACTGTGCAAAACGGGCCAGGGTAAATCTTCTGTATCTTGATTGTGGTGGTGATTAGATGACTGTAATTACTTCATGTTTGTGAAACTCAATGAACTGAACGCTTACAAAGAGTGGATTTACAGTATATAAACTATACCTCAATAAACCTGACCAACAACAAAAACAAAAAACAAAATGCCAACGCGGCTGAGCACGCCTCTTACACGCAAGCAGACACAGTCTGTTTCTTACCCTGTTCTGTTTCAGGCTTCGGAACTGCACTCTCAGGTGGGACCTGCAGGGTCTGCACTGCATTCAGAGCCACTGTCTCTTCCACATGCATGCTCCGTTTCTTTGCCTGTTCTAGGTCCTAGGAACAATTGGGTATAAGTGGGTATAGGAGAAAACTGCCATTCAGAAAAAAACGCTCCAATATTAGGAAAGAGAGCAAAGAAAAACCCCAGAGGGGCAAATAAAAGCATTTAGTTTCCTCCCAGCAGAGAAAAGGTAAAACGTATAGCAATGAACATCCAAATCAAAAAGAAACTGAAACAGAACTCAGCAATTCTCATCCCACTGCTCAGCTCACGTCTGCCTCTCTGGCTGAGGCCATCTCAGTCACATCTTACCTTTTCTAACTGTCGTCCTGTTTCTTGGAGCTCCAGCTGCAAATCCTCCACTACAACCACGGCCTCCTCCCCACTCTTCGGGTGCTGCTCGCGCACCTGGGCCTGTAGCTCCTCGGGCAGGATGCTCAGGAACTGTTCAAGGACCAGCAGCTCCAGCATCTGCTCCTTGCTATGCATCTCAGGCCGCAGCCACAGCCGGCAGAGCTCACGGAGCCGGTTCAGTGCCTCTCGAGGTCCTGTGGTCTCTTCATACCGCAACTGCCTGAACTGCCTGCACAGAGGCTCCTGTCCAAGGCCTGTGCCATTTCCTGGCCACTTGAATCCCTGTTCCCAAGCAGGGTGGTCATCCTTCTTCACAGCCAGAAGCCTCTCCTTCTTCAAATTCAGAGGAGGCCAGGCAGGAGCGCTCACCAATGCTGTTGCCATCCCCAGCTGCAAACTGCTCTCTCTGTTTTGGAGAACCTTCTTTTGACTATCTCCTCAGGGACACCCCTGGAAATGTAATAACCAGAATCACAGACACAGTACGAGCAGTAGCAACAATGACAACAGCAATAGCACTACTCCTTTGTTAGGTGTGTACACTTCTAATAATTACTATCCATTCTGTTCTCTCTGAAAAAACAACACATTCCTAGAAAAGGAACACATACAAAATGAGAAACCTCTGTTTAACGGACTGCCAGCTAATGTAGCAGGAATAACACATTTGAAAAATTTCCATGTGGTAGCTCTAAATGAAATAACCGGTTCAATCAAGAACCACAAATAGGCAGTACCACTGGGTGAAAGGAGTCAGGATGGCATTCTCGGTCTTACCACTTATTAATTCATTAAAAAGGGAAAAATGGCGATATCACAACCTTAATTCAGTGATAAAATCTAGCAAAACCAACAGTAAGACAACTGACCTTGTGCTTTTCCACCTGTATAGCATTTTTATTAAAAATGATTTAACGTGGATCTAATAATGAGGAAACTTTCAGATAAATCCAGCACTCCGCCATCTACAACAGCCATGGACCCTTCAAAACAATCAATTCCACAAAAATAACAAGGTGTGGGGAAGGTATTATTCTAGATTAGAACAACACAGCAAAAAGCAATGTGTGAAACTGGCTCAAGTTAAAAAAGATATAAATATTATGTTTTGAACAATTCAGAAATCTAAATATGATGTATAGACAAACTACAGGCCAGCACACCAAAGGAGACCAAAGTCTGGTTTTGTGCAAAAGGCTTTTCTGGAATTTAGCTACACCCAGTTGTTCAGGTTCTGTTACAAATGCACCTGCACAACACTGGCAGGACCGAGTGGCTTCCACAGAGATCACCTCACCTGCAAAGCTGAAAACATTTACTACCTGGCCATTTACAGAAAAAGTTTATAGATCCCAAAAGAGAATTTTCTCAGGTGGGATAAATGCACTGTGGCCATGAGAATATTCTTATTCTCAGGAGATGGCACTGAAACTTACTTTCAAGTGTTTCAGGAGGAGAGTGTGCACTGTGGGGAGAGAGCACGCAGCAGCCAGGAATACGGAGACAGACACAGCTCCTGGCCTCTAGAGCTTGCTGCTGCTTAAGAGGTCTCAGTGAGTGAGCAGTCGCAGTGCAGTTCCTTCAGTGCCACGGTGAAGGGATGCACAGGGTGTTGGCAGGACACAGTGGTGAGGCACTATTCCCAGTTGTGGGTGAGGAAAGGCTTCCTGGAGGCAAGTTCTTCTGGGTCTTCAAAGACAAATAAAAGTAAAGCTGACAAGAAAAGAAAGAGGCTTTTTCAGACAGAGCAAAGGCTGAGCATAGAGCTGTTGGGGAAAGCCTGGTAAATTCAGGGTAATGAAGAAGTCAGTTGTAGCTGGAACCCTGGTAAACTCTTAGCACATGGAAGAGAGATGAGAAGGAACAGCTGGAGAGGCTGAGAAGAACAAAGACAAGAGCACCCAGAAGGCCAAGGAGACTATTTCTGTGAATGATCCAATCCAGCCCTGTCACGTGCAAGCAGTGTGACTTGGGACAAGTTACTTATCCTCTTGGAGACTTAAGTTTACTCATTTGTAAGATGAAGATAATACCTAATTCACAGAGGTGTTTTGAGGTAAATGAGACAATAATTGTAAAGAATACAAATTCATTGATTTATAATTGGAATTATAAAATGGCAGTGCTGGAGGGAAGGGCAGGAAGAGATTAACCAAAGAACTTATATGGTTATATGCATAACCCATAGACACAGACAACAATGTGGTGGAGGCCTGGGC